AAGGGTCAGAGCACGCGCAGTGAGCCAAAAGGTGTGCTATTGTTGTGGTTCAAACCAACATCACCTGGCTATTTGTCCCAACACTGAGAAGAAGGACGAGTTGATGAACTCATTATCTTACATGGAGGAAACTATGCGCAAGTGCTTCACCGAGGACGACAAGGCAATCATCCGACGTGATGTTGAAAGCCGAAAGAGGAAAGCAAAGTCATCCAAAGACGTCGAAGACGAGGACTACATGGATGTGGATGATGAAGATATTGAACTTCCCGAAGAAGAGCCGGAACTAGGAGGTAAGGTACCACCTCACTCTCCGAGAGCCAAAGGTAGACCACACTCGTCAGACTCTGCAAAAGAGGAATACGCGAAAGCGGTCGAGGCAACCAAGAAGGCCTTTGGGAACGCCAGTTTCGTCACCAGATTCAAAGAGCCCGTCGACCTCTTTGACATTGCCGATGACAAAGAAGGAGGAGAGTACAGGGTCGCAAATCACAGGGTTGATAGATCAGGTCCTAATGGAAAGTGGGAACTTGATGCACTTATTCAGGAGGCTGCAGCACTCGGAATAAAGATGCCCAAAGTGAAAGACCTTGTTCCTGACCAACAACAAGTTCACAAGGTTGGATATCGGCAGATTGAGGTGACTTGCGATAGAGGAAGCATCGAGATCATTCCACAGTACGGAGTTACATTCTATGTGGAGTACTGGAATGGGCCGAAGAGAGATGCAACTTTCACGGATCCACCAAAGATGAACCCAGCAACTCGCATCGACAAGTTCAGCGAGGAGAGTCAGAGGGTCAACGAGATTAGCCATAGACTCAATAGACTACTCAGGCATGGAGTGGGAAAGCATAATGGGATTCAATCGCACCGCGGTCGAAAACCTCATGTGTCCCCGAAGTGCAATGAGGGTGGATGGGTGAACATCGATGAGATCCTGGAATATGACTATGTCTTCAACGATGGTGTCGATATCAGTACTATCTCAGGTGATCGGCATCGTCAAGATGTCAAGACAGAGCGATACCAGTATTTATGCAAGGCGATGTGGCATGCAAAGAAGTTGCAGAACAGAGTACGCTATCAGATTGCCGCCATTCGCATCTCAAAGGAGGATGTCTCACTCGAAGAGGAAAGGCAATACTGGGCAAACCTCATGTTTTACAGCACAGACGCACCGTCATTTCTGAAGCATGAACGTTGGATCGTTCCTTGTGCAATTCGAGCTGTTGCCTCTCACAATTCTGGAAGAGAGACTGTTCTTGAAGAGGATGTGTCAATATATCCTGTGTGGACTTCACATCTCATTCCAGAGAATGTGGCAATGCAGCTTGGAGGAAGCTTTCACATGACATCGCTTTCCAATATTGAGTCAATCATGAAACTAGGAATTGTCCCTGGTGGAACGGAGGGATATAGAGGTAGTGTTTTCTTCAACCACTTTGCGCCGTGGGATGATCGATCATCAAAGATTCTGAGATCAAGATGGCCAAGAGTGGGAATGCCCGTTTGCCTTTATGTTCCAATCATGACTTTGAGGAAGCTTGGGGGAAGAATTTCGGAGAATTCCTACACTGTTGTTTTTAGAGAAGTTCCATGGAGATGTGTACGAGGTGCTTGGTATTGGGACGACCACGTTCAGGCATGGAGGAGACTCCTGCTGGGAAGCACTGGAGAGCAAGTTGTTCTAGCGGCACGTCATGGACTTTGGGTTGCTCAGAAGCATACCATCCTCGAGAGAGCCGACGAAGTCACGAAGTCAGCCTCGGCGACAGATGACAACGTCCAAAAGCTCGTGTCCCTTATCGATGAAGTACGATTCGATGACAATGGAGAGCTGATCGAGGATTCCATCAGTGAGGAAACTTGGGACGAAATCATCTCCAGAACATGTGAAGGGTATCGCAACGTGGATGGCAATATTTTGTGTCCATCATGTATGCATTTGACTTCTTCATCTTTGTCCGTGTGTCTATCTTGTCAAGGCAGGCTACTCTCGTGTGGTATTCGTAACACTGTCATTTCCGATTCACCCGTTGATCTTGTGAGCGACGATGAAGAGGAAAAGAAGGAAGAGAAGAAGCCTGAAGATGATGATCAAGATATCTTGGACCAGGCCACTATGGACGAGATCAGAAAGGCTTGGGAAGAAGACATCGCTCAAACTGAAGCAGCTGACGACGACGAGGACATGGACAATCTAGATCCTTCCAAACCGTCTGATGGTGCAGAAAACTTCAAGAGTGACAATGTCGAGACCCCATCTTTCAATGAGGACGAGATCGACTACGGTCGTGATTCTGATCTAGAAGATGAAGACGAACGAAACGTGATCATCGAGATCCAGAGGAGCACACAACAATATGAGGGGAAGAAACGTCAAGATGGTGAGCCCGAGGATGAAGACGTCACCGACGACTTACATCCGGAGGCGAATCGACCGACAGATCGTGATGAACCGGGATACTATGCACAGCATGGAGCGACCGAGTTCAATCCCGAAGAAAGAAGAGACAACGAAGATCTCCCCATCTATTGTCGAGTACCGGAACCTCGAATCTATGCGCATCAAGAGAGAGCCTACTGTCAGGACGTCTCCATGAATGCATCGGGTTTGATGGATAGGTATGTGGTCAAATGTGTGCTGAACATGATCTCCCTGATGTACAAGAGCTACTATTGCACCAGCCTTACCGACTTCAAAGCAAATTGGAAAAGGAAGCGACTGGATGTGATAAGCAAGTTCGGTACAGGGGATTCCACTGAAATCGATGACGATGGGAGACCATTGGATCCAACAGATGATATGATGTTAATCTTTGCCAACGACAACAATATTACAACTGAGGAGGCCTGGCACCGATTCAGAGGAGAGCAATTCATTTGCAAGGTAGCACTCGTGATCCTATCATTTGGTCATACTCCGCAATCCTTCAAGGAGGAATATGGCAACTTCGAACACTCCACCAACTTGACTGATGCCCAGCTTGAGGAGTTGAAAGCGAAGAAAGCCAGCGCAATGACTGAATTGGTACAGAAGTGCATCCATGCGATTTATGGGTGTCGGACATATTCTTACTTTAGAACCGACGTTACATCACCCTACCACAAGGTGATCGATCCTCTGGACATCATGTACTCGAGAATGAAGAGCAAGTGGGAGAAGTCTATTCTGTTGATCATTGATCAACATGAGATCAGGTTGCCCCCACAAGCTCAGGAAGTCATAGAGTCAATGGCCAGAAACCCCAACGTTGGACATACAGAGAGATGGATGAGCGTGGTAGAACATAAGCATGTTCAAGCTCTTACCAATCGTCTAGGCTTTGGAGATAGGGCCAAGGAGATTCAGGGCAAGAAGAAGCAGGCAGCCAAGGCAACAGCTAAGTCAACATCAACGACTAAGTCTGAAGCGAAAGCAGCATCTTCGTCAAGAGCTGAGGCAAAGCCAGCATCTACACCCAGAACCGAGGCCAAGCCGTCGTCAGCACCAAGTGAGGAGCCAAAACCTTCAACAGCACCTAAGAGTTTCGGGCCCTCATCAGCAGAGGAGAACAAGGCGAAGGCTGCTCCAAAAGCCAGACCACATGATAAATCACCATCCAGTGCTACCGATGTGTTTGAGCAAGCTTTGCAGGAAGATCTTGCCGCCAACGCACATGCAGCAGAAGGTACAACTTCTTCATCATCCCGAGGACATTCCAAAGGAGGAGGCCAATCTGGAACATCTTGGAGGCCGGCGCTAACGCAAGAACGTCGCGAAGTACCTCAACCTTCTGAAAAGGGGAAGGGAAAGAGCAAGTCCAAGGGAAAGTCCAAGAAGGGAGAAGATGATCGGTGGGATGCTCAGGGCAGCTGGGATCATCGTGGATGGAGAGGTTATCACCAGTGGTGATTTCTTTGAACGACTATGAGGATACCATGCAAACCAGGGAGGAAATCATTCACCGGATGTTTATCTGACCTGAAACGCTGTAAGTGTATCGTTGCAAATTCGGATTGACGATTTGATACCATGAGCATAATGGAAGGAAGACAATCACCGACTGTCTCTCCGACTTGCCGTTCTATAAGTGTATCCAAACCAAAACCTACATCTTTTGAGAAGTGTGAAGTCAGTTGCCGATGTGACATCTACGTGGAAGTCACCAGTTCGGATCTACATCAAAGCGATGCTCTTTTGAGTGGATACTGAGCGAGGCCTCGTGACTGTCTCACTTGTTCAATTCGATTTTCATAGGTTCTGAGCCATAGTTGCACACTTTATATGTAAAAGTCCGCTTTAGTCCAGCATGTTTTGTAGTATGAGCCTCATATGAGTCTCGCGGCAAATCATACAATTTCTTTGTAGCACTTACATCCCTAAATTTTCGTGTGTGATCGGAACATATTGTTGCCGTTCACATGGGGGGTGCGAATGGAAGTGCAGCGACATGTACAGTGCAACTTGTACATATATATGTACCATATGTACTTTGGCTCAAGGATCAAGCGACTAGAAAAGGTGCGGTTTCCGTTCCGACGCTACGCCGCTTATGGACCGTCAGTGATAGCTTCAAACTTCGCTGATTAAGATCCACTCGCAGTATACATAGTGAGACATATAGGCCGGAGAGGCCGACGGCTTTGGTGATCTTAAACTTGAGCCAGCATTGACTGCTGCTGCTGCTGTTCGGAGTTTGATGGAGCACAACGGACCTGGCTTGAGTGCCCTTTGTCGTGCTGGGCGCAAGCCTGTGGCTAAGAATGCCTAGCCGTGTTCCTGGCTTAGTCGACATGGGTGGAGTAGATGTTGGCCTATGACCGACGCCCTGCAACATTCAAAAAACATAATAAACCAAGCAATGCTTTGCCATTGAGGATGCGTAAACTTTCAACATTCAATGCATGATGCGTGCCGTGTGGGTGGTGTGACTTTTCCCCGCCTGAAGTGACTTAAGTACGGCGCTTGTAGGAGGTTGTTGGCGTTTCCATGTAATTACACCTCCAAGTCATGGATGCGAGCTGGAGAGGACGTGGCGCGGCCAACCTTAGCCGAAGGAATCCGGGCAGCATGGGATGAAAATCGGATAGCGGATAGTGGGAATGAACGAGCTCTTTTGGCTCTTGACATCGCTCATAGCATACCTCGTCAGATCTACCTCAAATTGTCAAACAACTGTTCGTCCAAGAAGATTTGCTCTACTGATGTTGTAATACCGATGCCCACATTCTGCAAATTGTCAGGCAGCTCCCAAGGTCTTAGCTGCAGATTCAGCAGTCCATGTGGCCCGTGAAAGACGATGTTGCTGTCCTTATTTGTTTGTCGAACGTCTTATTCTCACTGAGGGGATGTGAAGAAAGAGAAGACCTTGCAACCCGGACACCAGGGCTGGGCGGCGAAGTCTGCATATCTTGAGGCAACAGCAATGGCTTGGAGCAGTTGGTCGGTTGGAGGTTCGCCAATACTTTGGCACAGCGGAGGAATATACTAGAGACATCTAGAGACTATCAGAAGTTGTCATTATCTCTCACATGATGTCTTGGTCGAAGTATTGTTGCAGGGTAGGGGTGTCAGGCTTTATGGAAGATCACTAAGGTCACAGCTTTATTCCATTGATGGTTTGGGAAGCGTGGGGCGAAAGGGAAATGCGGCCAATGAAGCCAACACGCGATCGCACTTTGTCTATCTTTTGTATGCATGCTGTGGTTGGGGATTGCCACATTCTGATGGCTGATGGCCGCTGGCCGTTTCTCACCGGTCCTTTGTCAAAAGAAAAGGCCTGTTTTCCAGGCCAAGTCGAAGAAGCGACATCTCGCCTATCTCAAGATCCTGGCGGTCGAGGAAAAGAAGGCGCCATCGGGACACCTTTGGTGTTGCCGTTGTTTCGAGAGTTGAAGGGCTGAACGGCAACATGTCCTTTGGTCTCACACACAGTAAACGTTTGACCAGTATTAAACCAGTAGATATCAATAGATTAACCATCACAGTTATCGCATGTTGTCACTATTACTGTATTGCTTTGCCCCTTGCTTTTGGCTGCAGAAGTTGCTTTGTCTCCTGTGGTTAGTGAGCGAACAACAGTTTAAAGCTTTATTGTGGATGTCCGGGATTTCAGAAACATGTTGTAAGCATTTGTAAGCTCTGCTGGCTGAGTTTCAATAACTCCAATTCGAGCTAACAACACGTTATGCAAAGGAGTCTCACTGCCAACTTCAGGAATATCCAGAGCATGAAGACTTTCACGTGGCTCTTCCTTTGGGTGATCCACAGTGTTCTCCGGTTTGGACCGCCGCCAGCTCAGCATTGAAGTCGTGGCACGAGTAGGGAGTGCCATGATGCTACTACTTTGAGGTACTCGTGACTCCCCACTTTGCGTGCCCAAGTAGCACGAGTTAACACCATGTTTGATGTTACTTTGAGGTGCTTGTCGAGCACAGATTATTTACTGAGTTGCCACCCGACAGATGGAACAGATTCAGCATCTCCTTACAGGCTTGCACGTGTTTGGGATACCACTCAACACGAGCTTCACATCACTTCATGTCAGTACTCCGAATCATGAGAGACATGGGAAAAGGCGTGTGTTCTTCACTGGCTAAGGCCGTGGTCCAGCAGCTAGAGATTGGCGAGAAAGCCAAGTTCACCCTCTCTCGGAAGGTTTTGGGCTCAGGCTAAGTGAAAAGATCTATATATTCAAGGTTTGTGCGATTCCCCAGTGGTTGCACTGCATAAGGCAAGGAAGCGCAGTGCTCAAAGACACCCACGTTGCAAAATACCAGGTATGGTTTGTGTTTGCAAGATAACCTTAGGCCTTGGACTACAATCCAGAAGGTCTTGCTCCAGATGACTACTGCTCAAGCTGGGAGGTGGAAATGGTTGTCCACAAAGGGCAACTTCAAAGAGTACATGAATCAACCATGGACTATACTTTTGAGCACCCACGAGAGAGAGAGAGAGAGAGTGAGTGAGTGAGTGAGTGAGAGGGAGAGAGATAGAGTGACAGAGACACACAGATTTTGATTGGTTCCCCCAACCACCGGTGTTCCAAGAAGCTTCAGCGGCCCTCGCCCATTGTTCCGACCGGCAGGTGGAGTTGTGGCCTGACAGCAGTCGTGGGTGGTATGTTTGTTTCTTTGTTTGGAGCCAGCTGGCCTACTGATGGACACAGTGCGCAAAATGCCCGGTCAGAAGTTATGTTTTAGATGTCTTCCGAGACAAGGCCGCCCCAGTGTGGATGGCCTCGTTGGTTCATGGTATCTCCCGGCATTTCGATGTGAAGAGCTGAGGCTTCGGGTCCTTGATGTCGAGGATGTGAATGAAGACTTTCAGCAGCAGCTTGGCATCTCCAGGTTGCTACTAACAAAGGGCATCGCCTACTAGTAACAGGACGCTACTAAGTAGCTCCTGACATTTTCTACTAGTAAGTAGCAAGAAGCTACAGGTGATTGAAAGATCGTTTGGGAGATGGTAGCTTGACGTAGCTTATGTTCCTGGAGGCATTGCGCAATCTGGATGGGAAAAAGCTGTTTTGATGGAAGGCTCAGAAGCTGGACATATTTCAACCTTGCTTACCAGCAATCTACACTAGTGCCAAGTGGTTGCAATGATTGGGGGATAAGTTGTCATACTGTCATAGCCGCAGCCTCAGGCTCCTAGACATTGAGAGCAGTGGTGGAAAGGAACGGGCTGAGGCAGGTGAATGGATCCGCTCTGAATGTCTCTGCATGATTCAGGGAAGGGGGGGATCTGATCTATGATCTATAAGTATCAAGTATTCTGAGTCTACGTCCTAAGAGTTTTGTGGTACCAATAGTAAGGCACCTTGCTACTAGTAGTTGTTTGCTACTAAGTTACTAGTAATGCACCTATACATCTTGTTACTAGTAGCGACGTTCTCCCAGGAAGTCCATTAAGACACCCAAAAACGACGTCGTTTGATGGTCGCTCTCTCGCCCGGTGGGGTGGCCACAGGACCTGGACAATGTAGCTGTGCACTGGCGAGTGCGGAGGTCCGTCCAAGTGGCCAAAGGGATGAGGGGACAGAAAATCAGCTTCTCCACTTGTCACTTGTTTGGTGTTCAGATGCATGAGAAGCGGCTGAGCTGTACAAAGCGGGTACATAGTATATTCATTACATGTATGGATGTGGGAATTAGAATGCTTCTAGATAGCAGACTCGACTTATAACAACAACTCGACCGTGTTTGTTCGAAAAAAGAACGAAAGGTCGCTTTTCTCCCAAGTCCGAAAGCCCCACAAGGTGGATGCCCGAGGGCACCTTTTGCATTGCCAGCAGTCGGGAGCGCATTGCTATTCTGTGAGGGGCCCTGCTGTGGGAGAGCGTTTGTTTGCTCCAAACAGAGCACACATGAAAGCCTGCTTGTTTGGACCGTTGTAGGGTGTTTGGGGGGCAATGTCGGTTTTGACCACTTGAGGAGGGAGGACTTGGATACCGTACTTGTACCAATGTGATTGATAAATATTGATCCATCATCAATCAAACCAACAACATGGGGTTTGTTTCAGGGATGCAGTTTCTGGAAGTTTTTTCTCCCGGTACGTTCTATAAGCAATACTAATACACGACAGATGCCCTACCTAAGGCCTGGCTATGGGCTGGTACCCATCGAAGATCAGAATGCTTCTTGTCTTGAATGCGATAAGCAGATCCACAACCACTGTGTACTTGTTTCCTGTTTTTGATCATTCACATACAGTAGATTCACATGCACCGCACCTGTGTTCAGGCACCACCTGTACAGATCGCTGTCGGCGAAGGCGACGGCAAATGATTTGGGAGACCGATTGTTCAGATTGGATGCAAGGCTGGTATAGTGAGTGAAGTAGTGTCGTTCATGTGCTTCCGCATTTGCATCAATCTCCTTGGGAGGTGGATTTCATACGAACAAAGCCCGGCAAATGACCAGGTCTGACCGCACCCGGACTCGTCAGGCCAGCAGGAAGCGGTAGAAGTGATTGCTGCGAAAGTGGGTCCTGGTGGCCAGGTGGGAGTCATGTTGTTCGTTGCTTTTTGTGTCAGTTGGGGAGGTCTGATGATTGAGGGCAACCGCTATCGAGTGCGGATCACAAGGTCTCCCAAAGAAACCTTTAGACTGGCCAGTCTCCGGGGCCAAGTTTACCAGGTTCCCCAGTGCCCAGCTTTGACCGAGCTGAGGGCCATCTCTACTTGAAGAGCCAGGCCATGAAGGCAAATCGACCCGCTGGATGCGCCACCAGGCTGAACTAGAGAGGAGTCAAGTTGGTTTCAGCATTTGGTGCATTCTAGAAGATTCTAGCATTGAAATGTGTTTCGAGGGTGTTGGATGTTAGAGGTTATCAACCAAGCTCGGGTTGACTGGGAATTTCATTTGCCGGTTCACAGGTCAAATGTGTTAGTAACGAGACGAGCATTCTTCAAGTTTGAACATGTCAACTCATTGAAGATATGCTGCAGGATATGCTCTACCATTCGATGCCTTGCTACTATCAGTTTAACTCTTGCCTTGACCCTGATAGAGAACATGACCCCTGGAACCAGGCCATGGAATCCGCTGCAAATGTGGTGTACTCCACTTGCATATGAACTCCACTCGTGTGGTGAACGGCTTTTGGTGCCGAGGTCATCATGGACGTTGAGGTCGTTGCCATGGATCCATGCAGGGGTCCGGGCACTCCAGGCCCCGGAGCCTGCTGAGCGGACTTCACACGAAAACAGGAGAGCTTTTTTTGAGACTTTATTACTATTATATAGATATAATTATAATAATGCATCATATGCATCATATATAGATCACGTTGTAGATCCTTAGTCCGGGTGTTATGTTCTAACTATGTTGCAACTTCCTCTTAGTGCTTTGGTATGGTCAAATCGAGCCGAAGCTATGATACTGGTGCTGCATGTGCGACACTGTGCTATACTAATTCGTTTGTGCATGTTGCTTGGTTTGCAATCGTTTTGTTGGTTTCACATGTAACACAAAGCAACTTGGCATTTTTGGCTGGTGAAGTTTGCGTTTGCAGACAATTGGTCCATCCAGCCGCAAGCACCCAGAGTTCATTTGCTCGAGGATGGAGATGCATGGGGCACCATGGGGCACCATATGCGCAGTTCATACCTTGTGCATGGAATAAGGGAAATGACATGGAACAGCCATGGCTTTTGCCCGCCCTGGCCTTGACAACTGGCCTCATCGTGGGTTGGTGCCTTCGGCCTGACGGGAACTTGGCCGCTGCATGTTGTTGAACCCTAGCCTGGTGGACTTGATGTACTGTAGATTTCTTAGCCCAACTGCTTTCATGGTGGGTGCACAGATCTTGGCCGAGGCACGCCAAAGCGGCAAAGACTCTGAAGGAGGAGGGGCGTAGACAGCGCCCGGCGTCTGGCAGATCGCTGACAAAGACTCAGCGAGACTTCTCCTGCCCTTCGCCCAGCAGTGCTTTGTCGGAGTATGAAACCGAAGCTTGGCTGCCATCAAAGTTGTGATGACCCAGATGGCAGATGAGTTTGGTTTGGATATTCAACACGCATATCTATAATGATATGTTTTTTAAAAAAAAAAAAATATGTTAAAGTTATACATATTGATTGAACCAATAATATATATATATATACATATCTACTTATTTATGAATAGCTAAAACCCATGGGGCATAGCTTTCAATTGCAAGAGACACAAGTTCACCGGTTAAGATCCTGTTGCAGTTGCAGGACACTGCTGTTAATGAATACCTGCACTTCCACTATGGCCCTGTCTCTGGTGTTCTTGAAAAAGCCTTAAAGGGAGATGCAGCCATCCTCACCTCCGCCTTTGAACACGTGAAGGACTGACATTCCCAAGAGTGTCGGTTTCAACCTCAATTTGTGCATGTTGGATGCTTTCCTTTATGTAGTTAATTCTAGTTTAATGATGTTACATGTTTGCTTCTCAATATGTGCATTTGAGAAGAGAGAGAGGGAGAGAGAGAGAGAGAGAGAGAGAGAGAGTGCAGCAGCTTCATGCAGGATTCACACAGATGTTCAAAGCTTATTGTAGGATGTGTGTGTCCAGCACGCCCAGCGTTTTGGCTTCGCGTTGGATGTGGGTTGTTCGGTGGGTCGCATGAGCTTCGCCTTGAGTCCACATTTTGAACACGTGGATGGCATCGACTCCTCTTTGGCCTTCATCGAAGCGGCCAGCATCTTGCAACGTCGCCGGGCCGTGCCATACACCTGGAACGGCGAAGGAGGTGGAAACTTCGAGACTTGGCCGAGGTGACCAACTGGCGAGGGGCGAAGATGTTCATTTTCGGGAGGGAGAACATGGGAGAACAAAAAGAAGCGATGAGTGGCGTTGTCCTGTTCTGTTCATTGCTCATTCTATTGTGCTCAGGTGTTTGAACTCCGTTTTTGTTACCCTATGCTTCCGAGGGAGGGTTCCAAATTTGGCCCTAAGAGCGATCAGCATGAACCAGGAATTCGTTTGCCCAGGTCAGCGCTGCGAGTCTTTCCAGAGAGGTGTGTCCCGAACGCTGCAACTTCGCATGCATTGACACCATGGACTTCTTGCGAAAAGGCTTCTTACCCGGAATTGGGCTGTCCATCCACTGCAACTCCGCATAAGTCTCAAGAGAATTTGTTAAGGTTAAGCGAATGCAAAGTAAGACAGTGAGATCAATATGTGCAATTTATTTGTATATAGCGCCTTCTTTGGCAAAGGTTTGGCCACAGCTGTTCAATCTACTGGATTCGAGGCTCCGAATTCTACATTCTACCGAATTCATTCACTTCGTGTCAGTCTAGGAGGAATACGTAGAGTACTAGAAAGGACACCAAACATTTGTAGAGAAAACTGCAAGGAATTGCACTGGTACTTGCGGCTGTGCTTTGGTGTGACAAGGATGTGGTCTAGGGACCAGAAGTGGGACAGAACATGACAGAACCCTTCTCGTTTTTTGCTGGTGAAAGCCTGAAGGTATGAGGTCAAAGGTGTTGAAGTTCGATCTCTTTTTGAGTTCCATTAGTTCATGCAGCCAGGCGCCAAATTCGACCTGATCTTGGCGTGTAATGTGCTTTGCCGCCTACCTCGCCCACGGGAATGGCTAGGTTTGTTGCCGGAAAGCCTGGCCCCTACAGGCATCGTTGTGTTGCTGGGCCGCATTGTTTAGATTGAAGTGGAAGTTCTTTGGATTCAATCTTATTATCTTTTCTAATATGGTGAATCCTGAGAACAAATAACAAAATGCAATGAATATATAGTATATAATAATTATTACTGTAATCATGTTCAACTTACCTTGGCCATACGTAAAGCTTTGATTGCGGCACACTGCGTGCATAATTAAATATGTGCCCTAGGCCTTTGTCTAGGCCAACCCGCATCCCCGGAGCCGATCAACCAACGTGTGCACAATATTGTTGCATGTTTGGATGTTCGGCTTGCGCAACTCTACTTGCAACATCTTGCGACCTGACAAGGTAACATGCTGCGATCATTTGCGATCTACCTTTTTCGGGTTCCCCACGTCCCATATTAGGTTCTGCTTGTATTGATTTGTTGACCTGGTATTTCGAAGGCTTGTGACGCCGTTTGCCTGGCTTGAAGCCTGGACGCCAAAGGAGGACCTGCGAATTTTTGCTGCTTTGTCGAGAGGTCACCAACCACGACACTGAATGGTTGGGCCCCAGCCTCCGCCATTTTTGGTTGGTTCATGATATGGATTGTTATGGCATGTCATGTGGTTTTGGGTGCCATAGTGCTAGCTGCAGATCGGTGTTGACCCTTCATCATTTGGCTTTCAACTCGCCGCCTTTACATGTCACATGCAGGAGTGGCTTGGGGATTGCAGTAGACAAAGCTCAGCAGTCCTTTGTGAGATCATGGAGAGGCGGGCCATTTGCATCGTCACACTGTCATGCAGACAATTCCACTTGGTCGCGGGGTGAGCATGACACAAGTAGCGCATGTTCAGGATGTTGCCAGAAAAGTCACAGCGAATTTGCTGTTCTCGTTGGTTTTTTTCGCACGCTAGGAATGGCTTTGTCAAGGTCGAGGAAGAAGAACTTCCATTTCTTTTGGAATTCTGGTCAGATCTAGCAAGTTTGAATGTCGTTTTGGATGCTTTATCCTTTTGGGCTGTTTAGTTGCTAAGCATTGTCGTTGGAATTCCATTGTGCTTTATCAAGTCAAAATCAGAATGCTGTTTGTTCTATTGGCATGATATATGTACATATCTATGCATATAGTTTACAATTATATATAATTGTATAAATATAGAAATATATGTCGTTGTATTATTGTACTGTATATGCATAGGTTGACAAGTGATTCTTGCAAAACTTGCTCATAAGAATGCTTCTGGCAACTTGAATGTGGGCGATGATCGACTAAGGCACAGAACGAAAGGATTCATGAACTCTTCATCTCTGAGCTGACCGTTTGGAAGCTCCAGGTGTTGGGTTCCCCGAGCCAAAGGCTCTAGGTCACTCGCTGCGTCATGTTGCATCGCTCCAAGAACGACCTGGACCGATTTGGGCAACGGAAAATGCAGCGTTTGACATAGAAAAGCTGCTTTGCAAGTGGGGCTGTGCCCAAGAAATGCATGTGTTTGATTACGATCAGCTTGCCTAACTCTTGTCCTTTGTTGGATTGGATTCAGTCTAGTGAAAGACTCAAAGCATGGTACAAACATTGACCTGATCTACCATATTGGATGATCTTGCAATGGTGGTGCTGCGAGTGCAGCATCTCCCGTGACTTTGACGTCCATCGGCGTCGGTTCTCCATGTTCTCCAGGCTGGAAGGGGTGGCAAAACCTCATCAACGAGCGGGAAATCGGTGACCAGTGGCTAGATGAAGCTGACGGGCGAAGGCCATGCCCGTTGGTGAGCGTCCAGAAATGGTCAAGTAGCAGGGTAAGGGTTATGTCACGTGGTAAGGGTAAAGTAATTTTGGCGTCTGAATCAATCAATCAACCATGGTTGCATCCTGCAACACACTGCGGCTAGAGGAAGCCTGTAACTTGTAGGTGTGAGAGGGTGCCAAATGCACCAGTCACATGTGCCAAGAATGAGACATGTTCCGCCTCACTCAGTAAATAGAAAGGGCCATAATCTTGAACTCGCACCATTCACCAGTCAAACAATTCATCGATTCACGACCATGCCCTTCCACAATGGCCAAGCCCTTTCGCTGGCTTCTTTGTGATCAAATTGGGCATCCCGAAACTCTTGCCTTGGTTTGAACGCGGTGTCCGAGTATTCTATGGTACCGTTTGGGCTTCATGCTACTGTAACGGGCTGGATTTGGAACAACATATATAAGCTAATTACTGCAGATAGAATCAAAGCAGCACCACGCAGGTTTGCTGCTTTAAGATGACAACTCCCCGAACCAAAGGGTTTGTGTAGTAATTATTGTGTAGTTAGAATGCGTGGGTGTGTCAGGGCCTGCTGGGCTCCATATGTAGAATCTAGAAGTGGGATCGGCTCTTGTCATTCAACTTAGAGCTGTATGCCAGCCGTGGGCTTGAACGAAAGAGCTTCGGGGATTGTCGACCACTAGGACAATTGCATGCGCCAACCACTGCCAACCCCGGTCGTTACTACAGAATGGTTGATGCCCGTCGTGGCATGCCAGCGTGGCATTTGGCAGGAAGCAATTGGAGACCTTTGGCACCCTGAGAAAGTCGACAGAGGAGAGCAACCGAGTTTCTTTCACGCCAGTTGGGTGATGTTAGGTGAGCGGGTTGGTAGGTTTGGCGGTCAATTCAGGGTGTGTAGGCTGTGGGTTCTTTGCATCAGTGACCTAGTGGTAGAAACAATATGATCAAACAAATTATCATTCCAGTGGATTGGACCCCAAACATGTGGACTCGCCAGTCGTGATCATCACTACTGTGTCCTTTGAGGCTGGTCGCACTGCTGCAAATGGCTCAAGCTTGATGACCGAAATGACGGCGCAGGTGAGCAAAACGACATCGCTTCACATGTGCCACTGGAGCCCTTCGTGATGTGCGGACGCTGTAGCAGAAAGTGTGTGTGTTGAAAGTGTGACCCTGAGCATTCTCAGCCATGCTCCTTGCAATGTAGCTTTCTGGCTGATCTTTGCTGAACTTGCTCCAGATCTTCGCCGGAAAGCAGCCCGTCTGGAGTGGCACCGACTGACGGGAGGGGGAAAGTGGGACTACTCCAAGTGCCCAGCTAGGAACAAGCTTCTTGTTCCTAGTAGCGTCCTTGTTACTACTAGTAAGGCACCTGTTACTACTAGCGTGGCACTTGTTTCTACTTGCTTTTCAAGCCTACATTGGAGGGGAAGATTGAAGAAGGCGTCGGGCTAGGTAGACATAATTCATGGACAATCTCAGGAGAAGGTGCTGTCAGCATTAAGACAACCTAAATTGACATTAATCCTTTCCACCTATTAAAAAACACGCCTGGCACTTCCAAGGGAGGCCCGAGCAATCTCCCAAGCCTAGCGGACAGCTCTATGAATAGGACGGTTTTCAGACGAGCTCCACTACAGCTACGCTCAGGGTTTGGTATTGGCGGTGCAATGGACATTTAGTAGGAATCACCTGGTAGAGTAGGAATCATGGGTGTTAGGCTGGTGTTTTGGTCATTTTTTGTCTTCACATGTGTCCCAGGTGAGCTGTCTCGCGTGAAGAGGAGAGCTCGATCACCAGGTTGTGCGAGCTCAAATGCCGCTGAGCCGTGTTTGTGTTTCAAGTGGATGGGAGGAGCAAGGGTCACACCAACGCAACATAAGGCCAATCATGACACCCTTGATTCAACATGATTGTATATATTGGAAATCGATGGTTGTTATAGTGGATTTGAGGAATCAAGACACATATAGGTTGCCAGACCGTGGCAGCGGGAAATACTCAAAGTCAGCTTTCTGATCAGTTTGCGCCATCACATGTCTTTCGACAAACATTTGGAGCCTGAACAGTCCAGCTTTTGGCCGCGCCAATGTAGCCTGGCTGGGGCCAGTCTTGAGGTCAGAGAACCTTCCTGTACAGCATGCTGCTTGGCAGGAAGGAACTATTACGTAGGTTGTTTTTTTTGTGTATGGTTTATTGTGGTTTTATGTTCTGTTTGACGTTTCTTGGATGAAACTGCGGATTTGAATCTTTGTAGGGGTCGCAATGTGTTCATGATCTTTCATGAGTATACCTAGTTACAGTTCTTTTTGACCGTCTTGTCCTTCCAGTGCCTGTCGCCCCCCAGGCCGCACGACACCTCTTCGTGGGCGGCCTCGAACTGAAGTTGTGCAATGCAGCTTAGCGGGGGAGGGTTCATTCATGTTCATTCCAGGATCTTTTAGAGCAAAACACTTTTTTGATATGTTCGATCCAATCTCAACAACTTCAATTGGCTCTTGTAAAAGCTAAGGGGGGTCAAACAGTCTCCAAAAACTGCAGTGCTGCACCCAAGGCAGATTTAACACTCTTCAGTCCAGAGGGATTGCGGCACATGCTAGAGGCGTGACCTGTGGCTGGAACCTGGATTTCCTTCGATGACAAGCCATCACAGCCTTGCTGAATTTGAGAATTTCAGAACGACCATAGCACTTAGCAAGCAGGAGGAGCAAATGGCTTAGATGGTTCCTGCTCGATGAGAGTTCGAAACGAATCCCCAAAGACCACGTTTGCAGAAACGAATGGCAAGCCGCTGGTGTCAAGCCTCGAGTTCACCGCCTTGGCACCGCCAGGATGTCCACTGGCTCTACCGTGGCACCTTGGAACAGGGCGTCCCCATGCGGCGGGTGATGGTCCCCAATCGCTTGAAGCATGCTGTTGCGGCACATATGTGCACATACGCATGTTGTAAGACATTGTGCCAGGAGGTCAGAGGCAACTAAGAATTATGTCCATTCAAGGTTTGGAAAGCCAACGCGTGGTGAATCAGCACCAGCTTTAGTCAGTATCATTGCTACTCCGTAGCCCTTTCAAGTCGCCCTTTCGGAAATCCTTGCAGAATGTGTCGGCCGAGGCACCTCCATTTTTTTTGTTGTCCTTCACCCTCTTGCAATACGCTCGGCAGCCCATTTGGGGAGCCAAGAAGAGAACGTCGGAACCGACGAGAGGCGACGATGATTTCGGATGGGAGGACCTTCAGAGCTGACGGCATTTTTTCACGAGAAGGGCTCAACAAGGCAAAAGAAGGGCTCGGTATCCGAAGAACATATGCTGACGTAAACATACATAAACAGACATAAACTAGTATACAAGCTTGCCAGTTCCATCAAGTCTCCTTTTTTGGGGGTTTTCCAGCGCCGCCGAGATCTTGATGATCGTGGCAGCCCGCCTGGATGGCAAGAGGAATCACGCCACTGGGCAACGAACCATGGTTATTAGCCTGCAAGTTTAAGCCCCGAATCCCCGATCTCTTTGAAGATCACAAGCAAGATGGGCAAGTCAAGGCTGTAATTGCTTGCAGCGTTTACCGTATGCAGTGTTTATCCAGATTTTAGGGTCTCAATCGGTCTCACGACTTTGTTGAAACTGTAGGAGGGTGCTTTCTCCCAGAAGTGGAGAGCACAACTGCCAAGACTTGGGGCACAAGACCTGCAGGTACTTCAGAAGGTGTGGAGGATCAGAGAGGCTGCTAGCAAAGTTCCTTGGTCAAAAGCCAATGTGCACCGACGTGATTTCTCAGATCACAAGGAATCCAATTTTGACGCATCCCAGTCACACCAAGGAATACCATGACCGGCTCGATGGGGATGATCCGATCAAGGGTGGCTTTGCCAGCAAGGGGTCAGAGCATTGAGGTGGGAGTTGGATCTGAACCAAATCAGGCCAAATCTAGGGATTCATTTGTCAACCTAACTCGGTGTGCTTGATGCTTAGTAGCTTAGCATAGTTTAGCCACATTTAACCTGTCCATATTTTTGGGTGGTGATGCAGGTGAGGAAACTCAGCATCAACATGACCTGTTTGAGATGGAAGCGGGTTTCATGGCATTCAACCTGGAAGGCTGTGAGGCTGACATCAAACATGCAGAAATAATGTTGAATTGGTTTTCCAGTGGCAAGAGAAGGGCCCCAGTCCCGCTGCTTCAATGGTCCATGTGTGTTTCTCATGTTTAACAATAGAGGGCCTTGGCAAGACACGCCAACCCTGACGGAAAGCAAATAGTTTGGTTGGTTGGGCTGATGATTTGGTGCATCGATTCAACACTCGAAGCATGGCATCTCTCAAACTGCTATCACGGGTAGGATTGCAGAGCCTTGAGTAGGCTGTAGACTGTAGACCCATGAAGCTTTGCATTACAAGCCTTGGAAAGGATGCCTTCGACTTAGATGTCCTTGAGACAGATACCCTCTTTGACTTGAAGGCTTTGATTCGAGAGCGTTTGGCCTTGGAAGGCCCGAAGAAACAAGGCCTAAAACTGGTGCATGACACCTCGCTACTGGAGAACGATATAGAGAGCCTGAGCTCCTATGGCCTTGAAGATGGTAGCAGCCTCCTGCTGCTTTTGGAGAATCCCGGGCCGATCCGCCTTGAAGCGCATGTTTGGGACCGCACTCCAGAGGATAGCTTGTTGACAGCTGCCGAATCTGGGGAGCTCCAGCATCCAGTGTCAAAGATCGAAGTGACCGTGGGCACATTTCAGGCCCCAGTTCGTCCAGCCTCGGCGTCCAGCATCCCGGAGTGTAAGAGTGTAGGTGTGGATCGCGTGGTTAAAGTGTGGATTTTTTAGGACAATTTCTATCCTGGATTTGGTGGGACTGTCGCAGTTGCGGGCAAATTGTTGTATACGAATTCATACCATTAATACAGTATGTATATAATTTCATGCCAATACATAGTATTGTTGTATATTGTAGTAACTTTGTAGTATAAGTTGAGTACGTTGCATAAGGCTACAAGGGATCAGGCTACAAGGGATTGCCCCTTTGCAGGACCAAGATTGGGGCAATTGCAAGGGAAATTTATTTTTGTCTCTGCTAAAGGGAGATTTGGTGCTGGTGCGGCAAAACCTTTATGGCACTTATCGGCTGGATGGCTATCCGCATGGTCGGCACCCGCCACCGCTGACGTTCACAGAGAGTGATGATTTGGTGCGCTTGGCGGAGGTGGGCTGCCGCTATCAGATCGCCTACACAGTGGGCAGCGGCGGAGGGCATCGAATTGAAGTCAAAGAGCCTGGGTTTGATCAGGATGGATCGGGCGATCGGGACGGAGCGCACTATTTGTGCGCCATGCCCAAAAATATGGTGTCGATGTCCTTCCCAGGTTTGCTCGTAACTTCCGTGGTGAGGTGTTTGTATAGATTACGCATAGATCATGCAAGTGTCATGTAAGGTCTCATAAGTCAACAGCAACAGTGTACCTGTCACTGCACTTACTCTTGCTCCCTACCCTACCCTGTTGGTGTTATTCCTCATGTTGGCTGAATTCCACAACCCACAGCAGGCAACTGGGTGTGCCAATTTCACAGTTTTAGGGAGTTCGTTTCAAACAATAATATTGTAACCTTAGGGAAGGTTGAGCTGAATTCAAAATCATGTCACTGGGCCCAACCCTGGATTCAGTGTGGTCGTTGCGTTCAAGTTATTGGGGCGCAGTCTGCAAGTGTACATACATGCTTTCGTGAAAGACTAAACTGAGAGGTTGACAATCTGACAATTGAAACACACCAAGAAACATTGTGACAAGACGTGATAGTCTCCAAAACAATCTAAGAC